AATTCCTTATTACGAATTTTTTGAATGGTTTACGGGAAATTTATTTCTCTGTTCGATTAGGTGTCTACAGTCCATTGTTTGATTGTTCTACCCGTCCCCACTCTCCCTACCCTCCTCGTATTATGTGACCACCGGGACCTCTCAAGTACCGCATCAGTACACATTGATGTCGATGGAACAGGATACCGGGGCACTGCCACGGCGCAGTGCCAGGCTCGCAGTTCGTGCTCGACCTACGGTACCTCCACGAACCAAGGCTCAGCAACAGAGACTCAACAGGCGGACGACTCCAGCGGCATCGAGTACAACATTGACGGTACCGGACACCACCGGAGTTCTTCCCGCATGCCCAGTCGGAAGGGCCCGTGAGCCGTTGGCTGACTATTTTGGGCGGCTACAGGTATTTACAGATGCCGTAGCTGCCGCCAAGGCTCAGCAGGAGGCAGCAGAGGCAGAACGTCAGCGGCTGGCCAATGAGGCGGCAGCCCAAGCTCAGCAGACTGCTGAGGCTGACGCAGCGGCACGAGACCAACGGAATGCCGCCAGTACGGAGTCCCTGATTCATAGTGAAAGTCAGTGRACARYGTTCCTCCAAGGCATGATCTTTGTGCCTTCGGACGCGCARGCAGATCCGACACCGGCGGATGCAGAGAGGACTCACCTGGCTAACTTGATGCTGGGCATGATGAGAGGCATCATGTGGAATAACACACTGGTGCAGGCACATCTGCGCACGGAACGACAGCAGCGACAAAAGTACCAGCAAGACATTGCTGCTTTAACAACTGCCATCCGCGCCGAAGCAACGCAGCAGCAGCAACAACATCAGCTGTTGAACTCCGCTCTCGCACGCATCAACAGCATTGAGGCTAACGCCTCAGCAGCGCCAGGCTGCACAACAGACGCCAGGCTGCACAACAGACGCGACGAAGCAACTCAATGAGCGCATCGATCACGTCGTCACCATCATTGGCGACATAGGTGTTTTCAATGGACCGGACACGATCAGTAGCACGGTGGCCGCCATCAAGACGGACATCACCAAGCTGCAGACGAGACCGGACGCCGCTACAAAGACTTACAAGATGCCGCACTTCGACATCAGCAAGTTCGACGACTACAACAAGTCGGACGCCTTGACATGGTGGCAACGTTTCCTCACGGAAGCATCATGCCGCACTGTCCCGGCAGACGACATGATGAAGGCACTCTACTTGCAACTAATTGGAGGAGCGCAGGCTTGGATGAACCATCTGGCGGCTACCAACAAATGCACCATCGCCGAACTCCACACGCACATCACGTGGAAAGAGTTCGAGAAGCTATGGTTCACCCGGTTCATGGTCGGCAACGTCGTGAAGGCGGCCATGAACGAGGTATACACCTGCTCTCAAGGGAATATGCCAACTCGAGATTGGACAACCAAGTGGCAGAAGATAGTGACCACACCGGGATTCGATTTGAGTTTTCCAAATCAACGATCCGAGTTCTTCTCGCGATCGTGCGCGGGACTGCGGTCGGCACTCGGCAACGAGTACGACTATGMCWCGTTCCAGGCTATTCTGGATCGTGCGAACTTAGTCATCCAAACGGATGACAAGGCCGCAAACGAACGGCAGTCCCAACCGCATTATGTGGCTAAGCAGGGCTATCAACGTCCGGCACATAACAATGCTGTGATTTATGAAGAAACAGACGATCTCCACGCTGCAGCAGCATCCTCGAGTGATGGAGGAATTGTAGCAGCGCTCCTGCCGAAGCGTCCCAAGAGAGTTCGGAAGAACAAGGCGACACAAGAGACAGCATCGACAGGAACTGGGCAGCAGCCATGGATTGCTTACAAGATAACCAAGGATGTCTATGACCTTCGTCAAAAGTACGGATACTGCCTCTGGTGCAACGGCGTCACTCATGTGACCGCACAACGTACCCCGTCCAACAAACTCGGGAAACTGAGTCACGCAAGGAGAGGGGCGACGTCTCTCCTCACTCCGCCGGACCCGGTTGCCTTGCTAGCAATCGATGTCACTACCGGGGACCATGCGTTAGTCGCTGATTCTCGTGCCACGTACGAGGATTATGCCGCCCAGCTGGTACCACCATTAGACCAGCCAAGCCACGTGCACTTAGCTAGCATATGCGCAGCCTGTACACCGTCGGCAAGTGATCCAGTCAGTTCGCCACTGATT